TTTTTTTTTTTTTTTTTTTGTCCCTTGACAAAGAAAGCTTTAAACCCTTCGATAAGGACTTTCATATGGGCTTGTAACGTGGCTTGGGGTTAGGTTATGATGAAAGAAAGGATAAGGCTCAAAATCCATATATTCCCCTCACATTTCTCTCCTCACTTCCTCGGTCATTAATGTGGATTAATAGAAAGAAAATCATTCAGGCTTTAGCAAATTTGAATGATTACCTTTTTCTAGCTCAAAAGGGATAAACAAAGGGGCAATGTTCAACTATTTAGGATAGAGAAACAGGGCCTTTCATCATTGGATTTTCAACTTTCCAAGTCAAGGAAACATTTAATTTGTTAGCCCGCCCTTTTAGGTTTTCAACCTAATTTTTTTTTTTTTTAGCAATAATACATTTTGACAGCATCGACATTCATTAGGTGATGATAATCAGTTCCATCTGGATATCTCAGCAAGAGTGCTCCTCCAGAGAAAGCTTCTTTAACAACATAGGGCCCTTCATAATTTGGTGTGAATTTGCCCCTAGGGTCCCTTTCATTTGGCATGATCTTTCTTAAGACGAAATCTCCTTGATGAAATACTCTAGGTTTGACTTTCTTGTTGTAAGCTGCTGCCATTCGTCGCTGATGGCATTAACCATGACAAAGAGTTGCCAATCTTTTCTCATCAAGCAAGTTGAGGTGATCCATCCTTTTCTAAATCAAGTCTTCTTCCTCAATCCCCGACTCAGATAAAATTCTCATGGAAGGAATTTCTAGCTCAATTGGTACTACTGCCTCCATTCCATATACCAAGGAATAAGGGGTTGCCCTAATTGAAGTGCGAACAGAGGTTCTATAAGCATGGAGAGCATATGGCAACATTTCATGCCAATCTTTGTAATGTTCGTGCATACTTGATATAGTCATGTTCCATAGTCAACCAATAATACCCAGCCCAAAGAATTTTTCTAGCAAGCATTCTTCCATTTGCATGTGTCCCATATATCCTTTTATAGACCTCAGTCATGACTTGTTTTGCTTCTGTCTCATTAACACATCTCAATAAGGTCATATCAACAAAGTGCTTATACAATGTATTTCCACTCAAGAAGTATAAAGCTGCCAATTTTTTAATTGTCTTCTTGTTCACCTCAGAAGCATGTAGAGGGTATTCCCCATTTTGCAAGAACTGTTTAATATCATGAAACCATGGTTTGTCATCAACCTTGATTTCCATGCAATGTGCTGATTCTTGACTATTTTCAATCCTTAAAGGCTTGATTACATCATCATTGGAGATTTGGATCATGGAGGCTAAAGTTGCCAAAGCATTTGCAAATTGGTTCTTGGCACGAGGCATATGGTTTAAAGAGATTTGAATTTCTTGATGAGAGTTTCAAGATATTGGTGCTAAGGAATAAGTTTTGGATCCTTGATTTGCCAATCACCATTTGTTTGACATATGATTAGTGTTGAATCACCATATATCTCCAAATCTTGGACATTCATATCCAAAGCAGCATGTATTCTTGCAATACAAGCTTCATATTCGGCTACGTTGTTGGTACAAGCAAAATTAAGCTTTATAGCAATAGGAAAATTATCACCCTTTGGGGATACCAACACGGCTCCAAGGCCACAACCAAGCTAGTTAACAGCTCCATCAAAGAAGAGCTTCCAATTATCTGAATCAGATTCTGCCTCCACTGCCAAAATGTCCTCATCAGGGAAATCCCAATCAATAGGCTCATAATCCTCTGCTGCGTGTTCAGCTAAATGATCTGCAATGGCTTGCCCTTTGATGGCTTTTTGTGTTGTGTAAACAATATCAAATTCGAAAAGCAATATATGCCATCGAGAGATTCTTCTAGAAGGGGTAGGTTTTTCAAAAATGAATTTTATGAGATCCATTCTTGAAAGTAGGTAAGTGGTGTTGGTTAACATGTAGTGGCGAAGTTTCTTGGATGTCCAGGTTAAGGCACAGCAAGTTTTTTCTAAGGGTGAGTATTTACTCTCACAATCATTGAACTTCTTACTCACATAATAGATGGCTCTTTCTTTCTTGCCTGAGTCATCATGTTAGACAAAGATGGCTCCCATGGATTCTTCAAGGACAATGATATATAGGATGAAAGGCCTTTTATCAGTTGGTGGCACAAGGATTGGTGAGTTTTTGAGGTATTCTTTGATTTTGTCAAAGGCTTGTTGGCATTGGTCAATCCAGGCATAAGGGTTGTCTTTTCTGAGGAGTTTGAAGATGGGCTCACAAATGGTGGTGAGGTTGGCAAGGAAACGGGCAATGTAATTAATTCTTCCCAAGAAACCTCGGACTTCTTTTTGGGTTTTTGGTGGTGGCATTTCATCAATGACTTTTATTTTGGCTGGATCAATCTCTATTCCTTGGCGGCTCACAATGAAGCCAAGTAGCTTTCCGAAATCTACATCAAAAGTACATTTGGCAGGATTGAGTCTTAGTTGGTATTTTCTAAGGTGTTCAAACACCTTCTTGAGATTTTCTGTATGTAGCACCTCTTCTGTGGACATAATCACCATGTCATCAACATATAGCTCAACAATGGTATGCACAAAGTCATGTAATAAAGTAAGCACAAAGCGTTGGTATGTTGGCCTGGCATTTTTGAGTCCAAAAGGCATAAGTTTGTAGCAAAAGGTACCCCATTGAGTGATGAATGTTGTTTTGAGCTTATCTTCCTCCATTTTTATCTGATTGTACCTAGAGTAGCCATCAACAAAAGAAAACCAAGCATTTTTTGCGGCATTATCTAACAAAATTTGGATGTGAGGTAATGGAAAATCATCCTTGGGGCTTGCTTTATTCAAGTCTCTGTATTCCACATAGACTCTAACTCGACCATCCTTTTTCATTATAGGAACAATATTGGCCACCCATCCCGGATACATAACTGTTTCAATGAAATTGACATCTAGCAGCTTTTTCACTTCTTCTTTGACCTTCAACAAAACCTCTGGCTTCATCCTTCTTAACTTTTGCTTGACCGGCTTGGCCTCAGAATAGAGTGGAATGACATGAACAGCAATATCAGGATCAAGTCCCGGCATGTCCTTATAGGACCAAGCAAAAACATCTTGAAATTCAGATAAGAGTTCTATCAACTCTTTTCTCTCTTCTGTGGATAGGTGGGCATTGATTTTTATCTCCTTTCTATCATCTTTAGTACCCAGATTAATAGTCTCAGTCTCTTGATTTGGCTGCAGCTTTGGTTTTTCTTCTCTTAGCATTTGAGTTAGTTCAGGAAAAGGATCAAAATTTTCATTGTCTTCTTCACTATAGGTCTGATCATCAATTTCATATATAAAGTCTGATATGGCATCATTGTTTAAAGATTCATTATTAGCAGGCCTGAAAATTATGGATGGAAGTAAATAAATAGCCAAATCATAATGAAGCAAAGATAAGAACATGTTACTATACAACCTCATAAAACATATCATTAAAGAGTGGCTTGTATAATGAAAGTTCAAATAAAGTTGCATCATGATGATTTTTACAATGATAGGTAGGATTGCAATATGTTTCATTAAAAAGGAAAGCATGGGAATACTAAAGGCATGATAACATAATTTTCAAAAAATATAGAAGTGCTTGCTAAATCCCTCCCTTCATGTAGTGACAAGTAGAACTACTAGAGGCTGACTCTTCTTACTCAGAGATGAAAGCTACAAGGAGAAGCTCCGCTATCCAATTAGCCTGAGAGCTTCCATTAACTAGAGAAATTCCCCTATCAAATTCAAGTTCTTTCTCATCTAGAGCATTTATAGTCAAATTTCCCCACAAGTCACATAGCGATTCTTCTTTCACTGTTTCAAGTAGCACAAACTCATGTGTTCCCATTAGAGCTTTCGCATGATGAACAAGATGGAAGTTGGGGTGCTTCTCCATAAATGCCTTTCAACAAGCATCCTTCTTCACCTCTCCTTAGGATCTGTCATTTTGACTGGCCCAAATAGGTTGTTGAAACCAAAACTGTCTTCCTCGTCATTAGAACAAACTTCATCTGTGATATCTTCCACAACTACTACCTTAAACTTTGTTTGTTTTGAACATTCCTCAATTTCAAGCAATCTATCAGTGAAAATAGTACCCTTAGAATCTACATATAAAACATCCATGTGCTTCACCATATATCCATTAAGAGAAAGGCACAAAATCTCAACAAGTGGTGGAAATGTGACTCTAATGGGTGGCACCCACATTGGTTCATCACTTGGATCTCTCCCTTGAAGTTTAGCAAGGCGCTTCTCTGCTTTAATAGCACGCATTCTCTGCCAATCTTCCTTCTTCCACTTGTATCCCAAGCCAAAAGTGCCCCACGTTTGAGTTACCTTAATAGGCTCAAGAATTCCTTGTCCATTCAATCCCAAACCCTCTCCCAACTGGCAATGACATGCAAGCATGATCTTAGCAACCCTGGCAGATTTAGCCATTTCAGCCCGTTTTCCTCTAAACTTTGAAAGCACACTCCATTGAGTGATAAGAGGATTCATAAGTTCCAAGATCAATTCCCAAGTAAAGAATGGTTGTAGCCTTTCGAATGACGTGTTCCTCCTCACCATTCACCGTGACAACAACACCATTGACAATATATTTGGCTTTCTGATGCAAGGTGGTTGGCAGTGCTCCGGCAACATGTATCCAAGGCCTCCCACGAAGCATATTAAAAGCAGGAGAAATGTCCACATCAAAAGTCACAGGGCCAATTTCCACTAGAAGCTCAATCTTTCCAACAACATTCCTCTTTGTTCCATCAAAAGCACAAACCACTGTATTGCACTGATTAATGTGAGACTCATCCACTTTCAACTACTTCAAAACAGTCATAAAAATCACATTCAAAGCTAACCCATTGTCAATCAACACATGAGGCACATTCATTATCTTACATTGGACTGAAATATGGAGAGCTTTAGTATGTCCATTTCCTTCATCGGGAATCTAATCATTTGTGAAATTAATATAATTTGGAGCCAAGATTGCCCCAACCACTGTCCCAAACTTCTGAGTATCAATGTTCTTAGGCACATAGGCCTCTTTCAAGACTTTGAGCAATGCATCAAGATGAACCTTAGATGTCAACATCAATTCTAAAACAGAAATTTTTGCAAGGGTTTTGTTGAGCTATTCAATGATGCTATACTCACTCTTCCTCAAAATATTCAAAAATTCTGCAACTTCATTTTCTGACACTAGCTTCTTGGGTGATTCTTCTGGCATCTCTTCAATTCTAATATCTTTTGATTTCAAGGCAACCTTTCTCGATTTTTCCACTTCAAGACTCACATAGCACCGACCACTACAGGTCATATTAGACACATCATTGGCTATGGAATTCAAGATGGTAGAGCGTTGAGGCATAACCACAGATGATGTCTTTCCCATGAGTGACTCACTAAGAGAGGTCTTCAAGACATAAGGTTGACTAATGACTTGTGCTTTTGTAGTATCTTGCAAAATGTAAGGCTTATCCTTAGTGAAGTATTCTTCGGTCACTGGTGTTATGAATTTCTCTACCTCTTGGGTAGATGTAAACCTCAAAACTCCCATTCCTTGCAGCTCTTTGATCTTTCCCTGAAAATCTCTGCAATCTCGCAAAGCATGCCCCTTCATATTGGAATGGTAAAAACACACCAAAGCATCATCAATCGTCACTAGCGGAACATTCGAGCTTATCGATGCAATTGGCTGAATAAGATCATACTCTATCAAAACGGCAAATAATTCATGAAGAGACCATGAACCAACATTCTCCAATATGGGTCTATCAACTTCATCGAGGGCAATCATATTCATGGTGGGTGCACTATGTGGAGGTAAAGGATTCCAAGTGATGCTTGGAGCACTCTTGGTTTCGTCAAGTTGGAGTTTTCCTTCATCGATGAGATCTTGAATTTTATGTTTCAAAGTTGTACAATATTCGGTACCATGACCTGTTACATTATGATATTCACATTTAGCTTATGGATTATACCCGTAAGGATAAGGTGGTTAGACAAGGTTCGCTTGCACTATTTGCATCAAACCCACTGCCACTAACTACTTCAGCACTTCACTATAAGAGATTGGAAGCTTGGTGAACCGTTTCGACCTATTTGTCGAGGGGAATTACTATCTAACTGGAGCATGAGCATTGAAGTTTGGCCTCCTTTGAGGGTAGGTGGTAAACTTGAAGATCAGAGTGTGCTGTAATTGAGGCTACCGATTGTAAGGAACATTTGCCATATTATAGATTGGCTTGGCATGACTAGTGAAAATGCGATTCAAAGCTTCCTCATCTTCTTTCTTCCCTTTAGGTGAAAACCTCTTTGAAGTAGATCCTAAGCTTCCCATCTTAACTTGCTCTAACTACCTCTGGATAGTTTGAAAGTCCATAATAATACTTGCCTTTAGTCCCTCCTCAATTTGTTCACCCATTGTCACTAGCTGAGCAAAAGTATATCCGACACAAGGAGCTAGCCACGCATAGAAGGTTCGGGTAGTTGACTTGATAAAAAGAGAGCAAATTTCACTATCGGTAAGAGGTGGAATGACTTTGGCTGCTTCGGATCTCCACCTTTGAGCAAATTCTTTGAAAGTCTCATTACTCTTCTTGGTAATTTTCTGCAAGCTATCTCTTGTAAGGGCCAAACTCATATTATACTCATATTGCTTCATGAAAGCTTGAGACACATCTTTGAAAGTGTGAATCTTCTTCTTGTCAAGTGTTGAAAACCAAACACTTGCTGGGCCTGAGAGACTGTCTTGAAAATAATGAATGAGCACCCTCTCATCATTAGCATAAGGAGCCATCTTCTTGGCATACATTTTCAAGTGGGCATAAGGACAACCTGAACTATCATACTTGTCAAAATCTGGCTGCTTGAACTTGAAATTTGTCTAAAATCTCGGATAGTAGCAGAGATCATCCAAATAAATGGAACCATAGGCTTGCGGCCCTTACATAGCCTTCAAAGCTTCTTCTAACTGTTGCAGCTTGTGATCAACCTCTCTTGACTTCCCATCTTCTAAAGCAAGCCTTAGCATTGCAATCGAGAGGTTGGGTTGAATAGCTGGCACTTGTCCTATCAAGGGTGGTATGTTAAGGGTAAAAGGTGAGGTTGTTAGCAAGGTAGGGTTGTTCATCTCAAATGGTGGGTATGAGGCTTCAAAGAGCAAAGATGATATTTGTGGAGCATGTGAAGATGACTCCCCCACTAAAGGCTAATTCTCACAAATAGGTGGAAATTGCAATTGTGTGACCATGGGATCCTTAGTATGATTACTTGGTGTGATGGTAAGGACAGGTGGAACTGGTATTGTGGGTATTAAGGATGTAGGTGGAGGAATCAAATCAGTAGTCAAAGTGAACAAAGCGAGACTGATGGTCTGAAAAGTAGCAGCCATAGTTTGCATTGTAGCTTCCAACTTATCAACCCTCTCATCAACGGCTGACTTTTTTGGATTAGTAGCAACCTTTTCCTCATACATTTTGATTACTCTAGATCTAAGCAAATATGGAGAACGCCACTTTTTGAAGAACTTTCACTTTGGAGCTATGTTTAAAAGACTTTTTACCTTCAACAGAAACATAAAGACAAAAAGAAAAAATAAGAAAACTAAAGAAACTTTAGCCCTTTTTGATTGGACCATGAGTTTCCCCTTTGAAGTTCCATATGGATTCCCACATCGGCATTTCCATTTTGTAAGAAGATATCCAACCATTTACAATGAGTTGTGCTAAAACATGACTTTTCATTACTAGATAACCGCACTTTAAACAAAGTTATCAAGCAGTACAAAGTTGTATTCAAAGTACTTACAAGTCCTCATTACAGAACATAAACCCTAACACAGCCTTTTAAGCACATTGGACATGTCAATGATAAAGTCGAAGACTAGTTGGAAAAATCTCCTCTCAATCGGATGGGTCCTTTGAGCAATGTGATGATGAGTCTCAACGATCTTTCCCTCAAATTGAGTCACCAAAGCGGTTTGGTCGATGACAACTTCATGCAAGCTGGTGTCCTCTTCAACAAGAGCTTGGTTCTTTTGCTTCTCAAATTGGAGTTGATAGCACATGTCCTCCATAGCAATCTTGTAAAGATCACAGTTGATGGTCATGTCTTATAGTTGCTCTCCCAATTGCTCATTGGCTTTACGAAGGTGTTCATTGTCCTTAGTCAGTTGGTGCAGATAAAAGATGGTTTCTTCATAAAGCCTTTGAGTACTAGCAGAAAACTCCAACAAAGCCTTGTGTGCAGAAGGTTGTGTGTAAGAATCCATATTTCTTTTCAAAGGTCATGGATGGTTTAATCAAAAGGGCTTGAGAACTAAACACAATGTGGCAAAAATAAAGATATTAATAAGAGAATAATCAAAGATCGTAGCTAATGACATGTATAATAAAATGCAAATGTGATATGAGGCTTGAGAATTAAAATTTCTATCCTAATCATGGATTTTACTTCATTGGATATACTTTTGACAGGGAAGAAAAGATTGCATTCATTCAAGTAAGTTTTCATTGACAAATCTGAATTTATGATGTTTGTACAATAGCTCCCAAGCAACCCATCTTTCCCCAAGCTCCTCAAGTTGTGCTTTCCTTCTCACCTTGCTTTGATCGCTTTGCCGTTCATAATTCCTTTTGTAGAGCATCATAATCAGACAATAACTTGTTGTAAGCATTCCTCCACTTTATCACTTTTCCTTTCAACTCTTGCTGTTTAATCACTTTCTCCACAAGCTCTTTGTTCTCCTTTTCTTTTGCCTTAAGATCCACCTTTACCTGTAGCAGCTTTTTCCGTTGTTCTTCAGCAAACTCCAAACTCCTTTTTTGCTTCCCACAAATTTTCTTGCTAGCAGCCAAATCCCTTTTTAAAGAGGCAATCTTGTCTTTCAACCTTGCCACTTGTTGATCGGCCAACTCCTTCCCTCTTTTAAGCAATTCATGATCAAGAGCTAACTCATCATACTTTTCTAGCAACTGACATCTTTGAGCCTGGCTAAGTCCCAGCTTAGCAGTTAAGTCCATGATGGTAAAGTTTTTCATTTTGGTCACCTCCAATGGCAAAGAAAGCTTAGCTATCCAACTCAATCTCCATTGCTCCTATTGTGGTCTAGTCCCATTCTCTTTCCATATAGGTAGCGTCCTACATTTCTCCCACACCTCATGTGCTTTGGATACAATTGCTGGGGAAGACATGTAATCAAAGTGTGACTGTAATGCGTCATCAAGATAGGGAACGCTTTGTGCTTTTCCAAATTGACAAGATGCCAACTTCACTGAATATGTAACCCCTCCATGAATACCCAACAAAGGAATAGAGTGATGTCCTTCAAGTGGAGCAAGATAATGAGTATCATTCCAAGTCAGGAGAACAAATCCGACATCATTAATAGTTGCTACTAGAAGTGATCGATGCCAATCCTCTGTCTTTCTATCTTTCACAGGAACACTGAATAAAGCTTCAAATTGAGGACCCCTCAAGTGACCATGTGCCCATGTAGTAAACAACTCGATGCAACCCGAGAAATGGCCGGATCTTTTAGCCCAGATTTCTTTCATAGACCACAAAGTTTCAACTATCACTATAGAAGTAGGATTAAATGCTGAAGTGTGCAACAATTGCTCAAACAAAGCTACCACCATAGGAAAGACCACCATGCCATAAATTCCTAATGCCACAAAGTTAATCTTTTGAGACGATGTCATGCCTTCCAATCTCTTTCCCAAAGCCATTAATGTTGCATTCCAATCAAACCAATAAGAATCATCTCTAATTGTCACCAATGGTTGTGAGAATTCAAATGGAAACCTCCATATAGCTTGCAACATTTCTTGAACTTTTTCTAACGTGAACTTCAGATGTTGTGCTTAAGGAGTGAAGGTAGAAGAATCCACCATAGGACTACACCGTAGGAAGTGATGATACTCATCAATGGTGGGTACCAACTCAAACTGTGGGAACACAAAAGCTTGATATTGAAGGACACAGAATTTCAACATAGCTCGGAACAAGTTCCAATTCAGCACCACTGATAATAGATCCCTGATGCACCCAAATTGAACCTCAAAGTCATGCTTCTCTCTAGAGGACAACAAGCCATAAGCCTCTTTTAGCAACTTCAAATCAGGTTTGGAGGTATCGACTGAAAAAATTGACTCCTTAGCCTTCTTAGCAATAGAATGAGATGTGACATCTTTCCTAAGTCTCTTCCCTTGTCTAGTTATCCTTGGTAAAATCCATGTTTAATGCATGATCTTACCTCAACACACGGCTTAAAAGAGTTAAACATAAATCACACCCTCACATGCCATACCTCATTAAGTGTGCAAAAATAAGCTACCATACGTGCAAATGAAGGTTAGTGAAGTAAAATGCCCCTTTTGTGCCTTAAACACGGGACGCCTAGCCTCATGGGTGGGATGCTAAGGGAAACATGTCCTAGGATTGGTATATCTTTAAGGCCAATACATGTTTTCCTAAAAGGCATTAAGCCTTCTTAACCATTTATCCTTTTGGAATCAATGGGAGATATTTCCAAAAGCTAATACACAGAATGATATTACATCATCAAGTGTCATATTAACTAATGGAAACAACCTAACGGGAACCAATCTTACTCCTCAAAGCGGGAAGAATTGCTCTTCCAAGCCAGATTCATAAGGATTCTAGACTAGAGGTCGGGTTCACCTCCGACACGGACTTAATACAAAAATGAGAGTGAGTGTGTGCAAGGGGGATGACACTCCAATAACCTGCACAATGGCAACCACAAAAATAGCAACATATATCCCACGATAAACAGATAAAGCAAACAAGCAAATAAAACATGTAAAGCACTCAACAGATATAGCATCCACAAACAAACCTATTTACACAGCAAGAAGGGACTCACCTAGTATTCCCATGCCAAATGTAAAAGGTTAGTAGCACAAAGCAACCAACACTTAGCATGCAACAAGATATAAATAATCACACAAGAGGGAAAAGACTCACTTATTACTCCATAGCCAAGTGTAAAAGGTGAGTATATCCACACACAAGCAAGTAGGCATGTAACCATGATGCATGATGAATGAGCATGTAACACCAATGATGCATGAGCATGTGAGATGATATAATACATCAACATGTTAGCAAGGTATGATGCATGTCAAGATGTAGCAAGGTAACTACTCAAAGACAAAAATGATCAAAGCAACCACTAAAACAATGAGCAACAAGCAACAAGCAACAAAGACAAAGACGAACAAAGACTCAACAAACAAAGAAAATCAAAAGCTGAAAAAAATCCTCAAAGTTAAAGTATTAGCTCGACCCTCGTGAACCTAGAATATGAAAACCAGAGATTCTAGGTTCGTTCCCTAGTGGAGTTGCCAATTAAGTGTAAAAATATAAAAAAAGGGGAGTCACCACTCATCCAAATTATAAGGTTGGAAAAGTCACCTAAAATAAATCTAGACAGAGATCGAAGTTCGAGAGTTCGATTAGGAGTGAGGAAGGACATACGCGCACCTCACAATCCTCCGCTTAAACACGATTGCATACTTTAAAATTAGGGTTTTAATTCAACTCATTTATTATGTTTATATTTGAGTCTTAATAAACAAGCTTAAAAAAGAGATAAACCAAATTGCAACATTTTTAACTTTTTGGACTAGAATGAACGAAATCAAAGACATGCATGCACAATGAACACAAGTAAAAATTAAAGGGGCTAGTTTGATTAAGTTTGAAACAAAGAGGACTGATTTGATAAAACTCAAAACATGAAAGACTAATTTGAAAAGAATTGATACCATGGACTAAATTGCTTAATTTGAGTGAAATTGAAATGAAAATAGATAATTTTGACTTTTGACTAAGATTAGAGGAAATTAATTAATTAAATGATTAATTTGACACTAATTAAAATTAATTAAAATTAATTAATTATATTTATCAACTTTTAAGTAAAATCATTAAATATATCTAATACTCTCGAATCAAAGTTAATACACATGATTAATTTATTTTAATTAAAATTAATTAATTTTATTAATCATAAATTAAACTAATTTACCTAATTAATTAGTAAAAAATTTCACATATATATTTTTTTTACTTTTAACCTTTTTAGTTTTTTTTTTTATTGGATTGCGTCGGTTGACCCAACCCAGAAACACAACCCGCTACTTAAAATAAACAAAAAACAGATCAGATACAAAAAAAAAAAAAAAAAAAAAA